TCCCTCGTGTGGAGCTTGGCGACCGCTCGTTGGACCTCCCGGTGCTGCGGCGAATCCTCCGGGTAGCCGAACTGGACAAGGGCCTCGACCAAGGCCTGATGCACCTCCGCATCGTCACAAAGCGTCGCGTCCCGGAACTCTGGATCTAGTAGCATAGCTGCCGTGTGGGCGGGGGTCTTGAACATGGTGCGCCGCCTGTGGAACACCTCCACAATAGCGTCTTGCTGCTCCCGATCAATGTCACGACATGCGGATAAACAAGATGCAATCATTTCCTCGTAACGTTGCAGAATCTTGCTGATCTGGCGTGTGTCGCTGWCCACCAACTTCASCATGCCCATGATGGGCTCTAGCATCKTGCACAGAGCTCTCAAATCCTCCCACCATGGAGGGGAGCCGATACATGCAGTGACYTCCGCTGCATCCTTGCGGATCTTGCTGGTCGACCAAACAGTCTCGCGCCAGCGATCGTCGGCCACAACATCTGTCAGCAAGGCCCTTAGTGCCACCAGCCTCTCCATCATGATGACGTTCGTGCCGAAACGCGTCTCCGCCGGTAGCAGAAGAGTCTTCGTCGAGTGCGCCTCAAGAACCTCTCTCGCATGTCCATGGCGCTTGAAGAACCTTGTAACCAGCCTCGCTTGAGAAATGCGGCAAGCCACCCAATCAATCCCGCTGATGTCCTCAAGAATGAGATCCATGATGTGGGCGACGCAAGGAATCCAGAAGATGTGTTTCACGCTCTCATCTTTTTGGAATACCTCCATCGCCGCGACGTTCACCCCGGCGGAGTCCGTCACGAACGCCGTGATGTCGCTCAAATTAATGTCCATGGACTTCACCCTTTTCAACCATGCGTTCGCGAGGGCACTGGCGTTCTTTTTGCCACGCATGACGTCGGTGGACACATACACCACCCCGATCTCTGTACCAACAAGGTAGTTGCACAACGTCTGACCACGGATGTTGGTCCAACCATCGGTCATGATTGTGCAACCGGTTTCTCTCGACGTATCCAGCACCGGCCGAACACACTTCTGGACCTCACCATCCAGCTCGTCCAAAAGGGTCGTGCGCAGCATGTGGTACGAGGGAAGTCTAGGTGCGAGCGCCCCTGGAACCCCCGGGGGGATTATCATCGTGAACATGCGTTTGAAGCTTTCAAGCTTCGTGCTGTTGAACGGCATCCCGCTCTCGACGATGAACCGCATGATTTGCAGATGCCATGCGCGCTCCAAAGGGTCCGAATAATATGACGTGACGGCTTGCTGCCTGTAAGTGCCCCGACATCGTCCCGTCGTAGCTCTCCCACCGAGGACCCCAGCATCCAACAACCCGCCAGGGCTCACAGGTGTCGCGCTCTGGGCGATGAAAGGTCACGAATGCGCTGCAAAGGGTCTAACGTTCCGGTCAACACGGGTGGAGGCTGTGGGGCAGACCGGCCACCGCCCGTGGTTGTCGGAACAGGGGTCGGCGATGAATCGGACACCGGAGCGGGGACCTCCTTGGCAGGCACCCCATGATCCACCTGTTCCCCGAAACGAGCCACGGAAGCAGAATGTCGAGCATCTGCAGGTGCGTGTGACGGATCCGGGTGGGCGGTTCCGTGAGCGTGGTGGACCATTGGACGCTGCGCCGCCCTCGACGGTGGCGGTGGCAGCCAGGGGTGCTYCGACGAACTGCGGGGTGATGCGCCAGGTGCCACCGCAGTACCACCTCGTGCGGCATCTGACTGCCTAGCACTCCTGAAAACAGGGGCGAGCGCGGGCGCTGAACTGCCGACACTCCCCCGCCACCTGCGACTCTCAATAAATGCACGTGTGCTCTCCTCGTCAAATGCCGCAGAGTCCACACCATCCCTCAGAGGCGGGGGCTCGTTGGCTGGCGTGGAACGACCAACTCCCACATCGCGAGCACCTCGTGTCCCAGCCAGCGGCGCAGACGGCGGGGCTGCCGGACGTGTTGCAACTGTTGTTGCAGGACGCTGTACCGTGACTCGAATGGCCGGAGCCCCAGAATTGGGCGATGCGACGGCTCCTGAAGGAGCGGTGGGAGGAACCAGCGGCGGCACTGCGTCCTCGGGGAATCGAAGAGGTGGCCACTGCAAGCTCGGATGACCTGGCAAGTGGCTCTGCAACGTTTCTATGACCGACACGAACTCCTTTGGATATTTTGTCATGTCCTTCGACCAGATCGCATTCCACACAGCAGGAGTGGTTGCCTCACATCGAAACTTCTCGCTCTTCGAGAAGTGCTCCCTGACGGCTTTAGCGCCCCCACAAATCGAACGCCCGCACAACCTGCACAGGCATCGACGACCGCTCGTCCTGCCCGCCGCCGTCAACCCATCCAAATAACGCCCTCTGGCCACGAAATGCCACACCGGGTCGTCCCGCTTGCCGTCGACTGTCGGGTCGACCTTGAACGACGAGTCAAACGTCTTCCTGTTATGACCTTGTCGGGCGGTCGTGAGCGAGTCTGACGGATCCTTCCCCCGGTCCTGCGACATGATGAAAGTCGCCAACCGCGGAAAAAAAAAGACGATGTCGGAACCCTCTGAGAATGTTGCCAACTCGCAACAGAGATCGAAGTCGGCGTCAGAGCGGCAAAGAAATGCTATAAAACAGGCAAAAACGATGAACGCAAAGTGCAGAACACCTGGACATCAGAGGGAAAACACAAGACGACATGAAACAAAAAAACAAACAACCAAAGAACAACAAAAAAAACTCAGAACTCGGAGGCATAAAAAAAAAAAACGCCGATGTTCTCTGTCCCTTGTCA